CCTCTCAGGTTCAGCAATTGGTGCCTCCTGGGTCTGGGGGGGCACCCAGGGTCCCCCTGCAGCTGATCGCCAAGGTGGAGAGGCATGGCCCCCCCCAGTGCGCTCCCTGGCAGACCCCGAAATGGACCAGAAGTACTTCTGGTCTACTTCCAGGTTCACTGCCGAGCACATGGAGGGCTCCCCCGCACTCTTGTGGGACACTCCATCCACCCCAGCATCGCAGCAATCATGAGCCGCACATGCTACCTCAAGGTATGTAGAAAAAACTTCTAAAGCTGTGTCTATGTCTGAATTGCTGATTCTCCAAATCAGCATCAAATCTTCAGATTTGGATTTGGCCGAATTGAATTGGGCAGTGATTCAAATCAATTAATTGAATTACTGGCCCTGATTCAGGCCGAATCTGAACCTGAATCGAATAGGGCCCGTTTCGTACACCCCTCCTACAGATGTGTTTTTTTCACTGAAATAGCAATACCAGTTCCAACCATCACATGGATCCAGTGTTATTTATATAGGATGCTGACAGATGTGGAGAACCCCCCCACCCCCCCCAGTACTTTCTCAGAAGAGGAATTGTATCGGGTTGACCTAGTGACCTAGCTCCCTAGTGTCTGTACAACTTGCACACTTTAGTGGGGCGTTTTGGTGCTTTTGTCAAACGCTGATTCAATCAGCTATTTGGTAAAAGCACCAAAAAATCCCACTGAAGCATGTGAGCTATATAGTCTGTGGACGAGCAAGGTCAAACTGATGGGATGCCTCTTCTGGGCACGCACTGTGAAGGGCCAGTAGGCGGTGCTCCTGTGTTGAATCACTTGCCTTGCTGCGCCCCACCAAAAACCAAGCTCGAGTGCCTCCCTTGGGGTGCCTATTTCTGGCCGATCCCCTTCCTGGAGCACGCCTGCAGGCCTGGGATACCGCTGCCACCATCCAGACTCAGGTCTTTGTCTGGGCCCTGTGCTGCCTGGGATACACAGATCCTGTAGACTTAGGGGTTGCTTAGAAGGATATATCTGGGTGCTTCTTATAGCCTGAAGCATAGAAAGTAGCCTCCCTTAGTCAGCTAAGTAAAGGGAGCAAGAAGGCCTGCCCAACTCCTCTCAAGCATGTACAACAAGGCTGGCTATAACAGACAGCTTTATTGGGTAGAGAGGGTAGGCATGGGGAGGGGTACAAGTCAGAGAATTAGCAAAAGCCTAACCCTGAGCAAACAAAAGTGGCTTGGTAGTCTTTTGATACGTAACTAGAATACATTAAACTAAGTTCCTAGTGAGGTTTCTGGTAAGTTACTCGCTTCTGCATCCAGATGAGAGAGCTGCAGAGGTCCATGCTTCTGCGTGTGTGTCTTAAAAATGTTTGCTTGCCTTCTTTCTGGAGGGATCCTCTTAAATAGCCCTCTTGACCTCACCACCTGGACTCAACCAACATCAGGTATTTTCTCAACATCACTGATGCTGACCAGTGGGTTTCAGTAACATCAGCTCTCACGTTGAGGAAGGACCACTGACCACACTCCCAGGCCAAAGGCGGGAAGTTTAACAATAGACCTGGCCACAGGGAGAGGGGAATCCCCCCACCCTAGGGGATCCCTTAGGCAACCAGGTGGTTGTGTAGCAACCAATTGATAGACACATGGGCAGAGAGAGAAGAGGGGAACAAACAACCCAAAAAGTGAGGAGGCTGGGAGGAAGTTCTTACGTATGCCCTGTGCTCAGCACAGGGATGCACCAAGCTGAAAGCAAAGCACTATTTTTTTTCCACATCTGTAAGCAATGATAATGGTTCCTTATATCAATCTCCCTTAAACTCCATTCTTGTTGGAATAGTTAAAGTGGCATTTTCAACTTTTATATGCAAATAATGGAGCTGGGTAACATTTTTCAGCTGAAACTTTTTTCATATGAAAAGATTTGGATTGACTTGTGTGCGGGCCGGGAGTGGTCCGAGGCCATCGGGGGGTTTTTTTTTCACGGCGGGCTGTGGCCAGCGGCCCGGACACGCTGGGTTGGGGAAGGCAGGCGGCACACTAGAATTAGGCACGGAAGCTTAGTGGTTGATTAAAGATTATTTTACTTACACCGAAGATGGTCGCGGTGCAGGCAGGAAAACTTGCTTGAGTTGCAGTTACAGACAGGAAAGAAGAGAGGCGGACTAGAGTTCCTTCCCGTGAACCTTCTAGCCCAATCCCGTTGAAAGCTCTAAACCGTGAGCCCGTCGTGTCAACCGAAGAAAGTAACTCGAAGCAAAGAGCTCTGAATACACTCACACGAAGTTTGCTAGGCTCCGTGGAACTTGCACGCAGGGAAGGGTACGTCGAGGGATCAGGCGGCGACGGGGAGAGGCGAGAGGCTGATCACACCCCTATAGCCAGCTCTAAGGTACACGCGCTGGGTCCGATAGGCTCCGCAGCGCACCTAGAGTTCTCCTCAAGATGTTTAC